ACACTGGCAACCTTATTCACAAAATACATTAAAAAATTGCTACAGTCCTCATCAGAGGACACAAGTAGAGCAGGCGGTTGTGCACCAGTAATGCTACTTATAGTGTCAAAAATGACCCTGGGATTTCTCTTGTTGGAGATGATGAGATTTTTAAAATAAGAGGCTCTGGCTACCCTAACAACAGAATTGAATTCAGCTAACAGTTTTTTAAAATAAAGACGATGTCCAATGCAACTGTGAAAGGCTTCATAATGTAACAATATTCTTTGAGAAATTGGTATTCCCTGTCATTCATACATTTAATCTGAAGCTGTGTGCATAGGCTATTGATGTCAGTGAGGGGCATTTGACACGAGCATAGGCGTTATAGAATGAGTTCCACCGTGTTGCTGTGGGGACAATCAACTTTCTTTCACTGACCTCTTCCAGACACTCTGATGCGATGGTGGAGTGGCTGGCCCTTGTCCACAGTGCTGAGCACTTAGCTGTAGCACTACAATACACAGCCCTTGATTCTGGATTAGATACCAGCCAATTAACAACCGCATTGTTTGCAATGATACTGAGTGTATGGGCTGCACATCAGCTGTAAGCAGCACACTATGAAGGTCTGTAAACTCCACCTCACCATCGCCCTCCTCCTCCTCCTCCAACTCCACTTGATGCTGCTGATGCTCCTTGAATGCCTTTACAAAGTTGCTCCCATTGTCCGTCACACATGCAGTCACTTTATTGTAGGTCAGTCCATATTGAGAGAAAATGTCTTCTAGCTCTGTTGCAATTGCATCATATGTGTGTCGATGCCTAAATCTTTTACAAGCTATTGCAGCCTTCTTTCATGCCAAGGTATCTGCATCAATCCAGTGCACAGTGACCCCCATGAAACTTTTGTTGTTGCCACTCCATATGTCTGCTGTTGTTGACACATACTGCTGGGCTTCGAGTGTTTTCTTCAGCTCCTTCTCCATGACAGCATATGCCTTGTCCAAATCTTNCACTCCATATGTCTGCTGTTGTTGACACATACTGCTGGGCTTCGAGTGTTTTCTTCAGCTCCTTCTCCATGACAGCATATGCCTTGTCCAAATCTTTGGCAAATGTTTTTCTGTCAGGCAGTACATGCTGAAAAATTAATAAGATAGCTAGATGTTAAACTCATGCTGTGTTTAAATTGGTCAGACTACATTCGGATACCCATTAAAAAAAAAAAAAAATGAACATGAGGTGCACAGATTCACTTCTCCTCAACAGCATGGACTCGCCATTTAGGTTGTTATTTAAAATAATAACAAGGTAGATAACCGCATGGCCCACTCTCTATGACAACGTTAGCTTACCTTGTCATTGCTGGTGTTCACGGGGATTTTGCTGACAAGCTTTCTGAATGCTGGCGATTCTACCGTTGATAGGGAGTGCATGTCTTCCACAATATATTCTGCCACCAGTCTCCTCACTTCTCTGGCTTCAAGAACCATGGTAGACCGAGAGAAACTTAACTTTTGTTGCTTCGTCTGTCCCGTATGCTCGTCCTCTTTTTTCTTTCTCTTCTCCGCAGGTGCATCTCTCTCTCTCTCAGCTTAGTGTTAGCGTGGCACCGGTCCAGGTGTTTCTTTAAGTTACTCATGCTATTTTTTGACGTCGAGAGTTCCCTCGGTGTCGCACACAGATCACATTTTACAATTATGTTTTTCTCCTTCTCTCTGAGGAACTGAAAATAATGGGCAAATGTCCATCGCGCAAATGTAGAGTCCAGTGTCGTGTCTGTTGTCATCTCAGCCTCAGCGAATTTCAGCAACAGGAAATAGCTCTTACTCGCGGCTTTTTTTCTGTTGTCGGGATGTCTCGCGAGTCGCGGTGTTGGTGAATTCTTAAAAAAACAACAGCTAATCGGGTTAAAATGCGTTGTAACGCCCGTTACTTAGATTGTAACGGGTAAAATATTACCGAAAATTTATTAGTAATGCGTTATATTACTGCGTTACAGCAAATAGTAATACATTACTGTAATTGCGTTACTTTTGTAACGCGTTACTCCCAACATTGCGCACCAATGGCCCCGGCTCTGTAAAATTACCCCGAAGTTCCTGCGGTGGAAACGGGCCTATAGTATAATTGCTAGCAGTGGTGGAATGTAACTAAGTACATTTACTAGTACTGCACTTTGAGGTTCTTTACTTGAGTCTTTTCTTTTCATGGCATTTCTACTCCACTACATCTCAAAGGAAAATTTGTACTTTTTACTTTAGTTACTAGTTACTATCAGTGTTGGGTAAGGGTTACTTTAAAAGTAATCAAAGTACGTTACTGCGTTACTTTTTTAAAAAAAAGTAACCAATTACTTTACTGTGTTACTCCCTGAGTAAAGTAACTAAATTAATTTAAAAGTACTTCCAACGTTACTCCCTGAGAAAAGTAACTCAAGCACTTTTAAAGTACTTTTGAGTATTCTACATTTCCTATTGGGCAATGGACCACAGGGCGCTAAGCCTACATTTTTTTGTCTCCAGAATTAAAGTTATGGACCACTTGCCCTTCACTGAGATCCAATCCTCCCATCACAGCCGTCACTTTTGACCAGTAGAAACACAGAACGATCTGCTGCCGTAGACAACTGTATGACAACAACACCCCAGCATTTTTAATATTTCCTCTAGGGATGTTACCACACAGAGTAAAAGGGGGAAATGACGGTGTGAAACAGCAGAGGCACTTTGTCAACCCCCTGAGTTAACGTTACTGTCATTAGCATCAAGCTAGCAAACAATGGTACATCCTCACGGTCGGACATAAAGTAATAACATTAACAAATAGCAAATAATAGTGAAAGTAATAAAAATAGGACAAGAATAACCCGATGACATCACACACATCATGAAAGACGACCGGGGATAATTGGTGAGTACCAGCGTGTAGCGTGTACCAGGCATAATGCAAGTCCTGAGTCTGAAATATGTCTGTCAGCGAGTCCTGCTCCACCTATTTAGACTCCACCGTAGACAACGGCAGTATTTCTCCGACCACGTAGCGAGCCACAAGCTCCATGGCTTCTTTCAGACTGATAGGTTTAATGTTATCTTCGTTATTAGAACCAAACGACAGCCGTTGCTGTTTCGGAGCTGAAGGACCAGCGTTCTAAAAGTAACAGAAGTAACTGATATCTTGTTTGAAAATGTACTTAAGTATTTGATTACTCAAACAACAAACTAACACGTTAGGTATCAAAGTACTCTAACGCATTACTTTGTAACGCCTTATACCCACCTCTGGTTACTATACAGATTCAGATTTTTTGCATATAAAGCATACATAGAGCTTATGAAATATTTTTATACATTTAACTACCCAACAGCACACATTCATTCACAAATCATAGCATTGGCCAGCTCTGACTAGGGTCCAACAACTATACTGCTGTGTTCCATAGAATTTCATGCAACAGTTTCAGATTTTCTTCATTTTCAGGCTGGTTTTGTGGATTTACAATGAGTCATGGTTAAACTTTGGGTCTGGAGGACATGGGATTGTGATGCTCATTACCCGGCGAGGTTGGAAGGAGATCTTCTCCTTTCCAAAGCCAAAATCAAACCCTGAAAGTGTAGGCTGCATTCTGCTTTAGACACCTAAAAACAGGTCTATATAAAAAAGACAAAAAAAAAAAAACAATAATAGTTCAAGTGTTCGCTATATTAAGAATATTTTTTACTGCTTTACCTTGCTGTCAGACAGCCTTTTCTGACAAGAAACTGAAGTTATATCACTAGTTAAAACCGCTGTCTCCCCAGCACCAGACTCACTTGACAAAAACAGTAATTTTACATGGCAAAACACAGGGGTTGCTGGTCTACTGCTGCCTCGATCAGTTAGATTGTTTGTGTTATTTTAAGACTTTGGTGTTTGGAAGGGTTAGTTTGGATTCACCAAAGTCACACTAGAAGACTACCAAACAAACTGATCAAGGCAGCCGCAGACCAGCAACTCCGTGTTCTGTGAGGTAAAATTACCGTTTTTGTCAATGGAGTCTGGTGACAGGGAGAGTGATTTAATGAGCTACATAACTTGAGTTTCCCATTAGAAAAGGCTGTCTGGCAGCAAGGTAAAGCAGTAAAAATGTATAATATAGCGTACACGTTTAGTGGCCTTTTTTTAGGGGGCTAAAATACATTTAGTTAGCTTCTGACCTTTTCCACTCACTTAGCCTAAAGTTACATTACTTAGCTTCTGTACTTTTACTCCTGTCTGCTTAAATCCTTCATACACATGTTGAAGTCCCTTCTGTCTGCTTCTCTCTGAAATCACTGTTTACTTGAGTTACTAGTTACTTGACAGAAACAGTAATTCTACCTCACAGAACACAGGGGTTGTTGTCTACTGCTACTCTCAGTACTACTTAAGTGTTACTACTGAAATACTATGCTCATATGTTTTGAGTTGCACCTAGGCATCCAGAAGTTGAACAGAAAAGTCTGTCTTCTTATATAGGCTTTAACCAGAATTTTAGAAATACTTAGGTCACAAGGTCAAGCCACCTTTGACACCAGCTGCTTAAAATGATTTTCTGCAACTTTTTTTCTCTTCATTTAAATTTTTTTCAACATATAGTTTTTTTTTTAAAAAAACATAGTTGATCTAATTAGTTAACTTCCCAGACTTTTAGCCTTGTGTGTATTATATTGAATTGAATGGTAAAATATCTTAATATCTTAGTTGAGCAATTTTGTAAGGTAAATGTGAGGACAACTACAAATTTCACCTGGTGAAACAGCCTGCTTATAGCTTTCTCAAAAAGGCCTCACAAACATCCTGTATTACTAGCAAGTATTACTTTGGATATATCCAAAATATTTTTTGCATGTAATTTTGTAGGCTTGTATAATTTTTTTAGTTCAAAGTGTTCAAAGCAGATAAAGCAGAGTGACCTTCATCTAATTTATCTGCTTTCTAGTTCATTTCTCATGCTCATTCATGTCACCATGCTTTACAAATCTCTCTTGTCATTTCAGATCCTATTTTTCACCTGTCCACCAGTTGTAGAGTTATTCCCGCCCTAACCCATCACCTAATCAGTCTCCTGACCCACTGACCTGCTTCCTAAAAACTCTCCAGCCTTTTGATCAACCCGTCTGTGTGCATGGACTCTTGCCTGTTTTTGAGACCTCCTTGTGTTACATAACAAATTTTGTGTGTCTGACTGTATTACTGGTGCAAATATCCTGTGCAATTATCCATCATGGTCACATCTGTATAGTAACAGGTGTATATAGTGTATACAGCTTTTATAGTTTGATTTTATTTTTATTTTTACCTTGTTTTTGTCTTATTTAACACTCAATCACTTTTTTCTTTGCATTTGACTCTTGACCTGCTGGAACAATTGAATCTCACTAGTGTGGGAAGTTTATCTTATCTTATTTTTTTTATATAATTATTGATCAACTAAAGAGTGTCTTTGTCACTCAACCTCTCTCGTGAGTATATATTTGAGTCCTCTCGGACTCTGAGGACCTCAGGGACCGGCCTCCTGCTGGTGCCCAGAGTCAGGACTAAACATGGGGAATCAGGATTCCAGTTTTATGCAGCTAAAATCTGGAACAGTCTTTCTGAAGATGTGAGACAGGCTTCTACTCTGACAATGTTCAAATCTAGTCTCAAAACAGCTCTATTTCACTGTGCATATGACTGAAAGGATCTTATCTGCACTCTTCTCTTTTAAAGTTCATCTTATAATGATTATTTATGTTTTTATTTTGTATTGTGATTTTAATGCATTTTCTTGTTCTGTAAAGCACTTTGAATTACTTTATGTACGAATTGTGCTCTACAAATAAACTTGCTTTGCCTTGCCTTGCCTAATTTCTGTGGAAGTTCCCTGAAACTTAACACAAAGGCTTTAATGTTCAGTCAGCAGAGTAAGGAGGACTAGAGATTGTGCAGCAACTAAGAGGCCAGGCCAGCTACCTAGTAATTGTTATGCATGTATCAGTAATTCATTTGTTGACAATAAAACTGAACTGAACTACTCTTGTCAATTTCATATGACCAACCAGCACTAAAAAGCAGCTGATCAGCTGTTCAGTATACCTGATAATGCTGAACAGTAGTGCAATACCTGTGTTAAATACTGAATTGAATCATGCAGGGAATTAGTTATATTACTCCTGGCTAAACCAAAAGGAGTGCAGTTACATACACATCACATCTATGTGCAAGGGTGGGGTAAAACAACACTGAGAAAAAGCCTGCACACTGAGTCCAACACACTAATTCTTTTAAAAACACAATGTTTAAATCCTAGCTGGATCTTCCAAGGTTCATATTGACATTTTTATGAGTGTGGTACTATGGTGGTAACAGCCATGGAGCACAGCTACACCTCAAATTATTGTGCTGGGATACAGTAAACAGGGAAAGGCATCATGCATGATGTTGCTTACTAAGCTTCAGGAGTGTCTGTCTATATTTTGCAATGAGTTGACAGCAGTCTCTCTCCACAGCCACATTGAGCTGAGGTTTTGGGGCCTATATGCCAAGAGGATAGGAAAGCAGGGAGGGAGAACTGGCCTTCCTGGTGACAAGTTGCACTTGTTCCACTAGTTCAGGAGCCTGAAATTAGTTTACTTATTTATTCCTTAACATTTGATAAGCTGAACCCCCCAAAAATGTATTATACGAAAATTATACCAGGTTTTATTCTCTTTTACACTCTTACTTAAATTCATCCAGACAACTCTGTAAATCTACCTCTTCAAACAGGGGCCTGCTCCACAGAACCTGTTAAACTGATTAGGAGCTTCAGATTCCAAAGACTTTAGTTTATGTTGGTATCTGTGAAGTCCATCACAAGAGTATGTGCACTTTTACATACACTTTGGAAGATTTATTTAGGGTTGTCACCACTCTGTCAGTGTGAAACTGATGTTACAGTATTGTTGAGCACTGAACCAGTTTAATTTGGGCTTGTATGTTACATAATATATATAATAGGGCCCGACCGATTTATCGGCTGGCCAATTTAATCAGCCGATAGCCATTAGAGAATAATCGGCAATCGGCCAAAAGTTGGCCGCCGATGTTAACACTTATATTTTCATCACTAATAAAATGCAGAGAATATGGTGTTTTACTTAGAAATGATGTCCTTGTGTTATTTCCCAGAGGTTTACTGTCTTTTTGCACATCATATTTTTGATTTATTTTGTATTCAAATTGTTCATTATGCTGCTTGTTCCACACAATTTCTGATAATAAAAGTATATGAAAATAGTAAAATGTTCTTCCTTCAATTTATATCTTTGTAATGAGTGTTTGAACTATATTTAAGCCATCAAAAGCAGGTATTTCGGGGGTTTTTAAACTGAAAAACGTAAAAATTGAATCGGCTGATATATCGGTTATCGGATTTTTTTATTCCATAATATCGGAATCGGCATCAGCCCCAGAAAATCCATATCGGTCTGGCCCTAATATATAATATTCCACTTAAGTTAATTTTTTCATCCTGAATGTTCATATGGCACGATTTGATTTTGTCTGCCAGGTTAGTAGGTTAGTACGATAATAAGATTAATATGATTATTCAGATTCATATTAATAATTAATAACTTAATATATATGAATCTGAATGTTTTGGGGTTATAAAGCAGATCTGAAGCAGCAGCAGAAGTATTCATTGAAAGGTGAAGGAAGAGCAAGTTAACCCTATGGGCCCGAACGAAGCATAATGCGTCCAAATTCACACCTGTTCTTCTCTATGGATTTTCTCCATGATCGTTTATCATTTATCAAGAGAGAAGCTACTCATATCACGTGAAACAGCAGAACCGCAGCTTTCCAACAAGACCAAGCACTTGTCGATACTCCAATGTTTTCACAAGGAAAAAAATGATAAACTTACACTCAAATTACAAGAGTACCTTGCTGCAGTCGACAAGGCGCCGCCATACATCAAATCCATGCCGGAAGTCACAGCCGGAAGTTGGTTAATCGCCACTCGATCCGGAAATATGACCGAGCTAAAACAAAAATAAAAGCTTAAAAAACACGTACGTTTACACATAACATAATTTTATGCATTTTGTGCAGTTACATGTTTATCGTAACGGTATAAGTGACTAGTTAATTGTCTCGCCACGACTTTATAGGCTACTGTAAAACTCAGAAGTTAGTTAAAAGCCTACAATAATATCACTAAGTTATAATGCAGTTATAACGGGAGTTATAACGTTTCATGGATTTAACTTTAATATCAACATTATGAATACAAATGTAAATATTATGTTTGTGTGGTGGTGGCCACACACACACACACACATACACACACACACATTCACAATAGGACTAAAGAATAACTAAAGTTAAATAAACTGAATTCTCAGATTAAATAAACTGAAAATTAATAAAAAATGAGAATTTACACAACCAAATAAACAGCACTTTCAGATTAGGCTGCAGTTGCAACATGCACACATGGTCACAACAAATGTCATACTTACTTTCACATTAGCATATGGTTAATATTAATTTATGTTAACAGTAAAAAAGAAGGCACTGTAAATCATTGGTGGTACAGTGTAAGGGTTGTACTGCCCAGACATTATGCATTAATCATATGATCCTTCCTTTATCTCCTGGATCACAGATTACCTGAGAGGAAGCGCACAGTATGTCAGGTTGGGGAACTGTGCTTCTGGGACATTAATGAGCAGCACGGGGGCTCCACAGGAGACTGTCCTGGCTCCATTCCTGTTCACACTGTACACAGCAGACTTCAAATACAACTCTGAGTCCTGCCACATCCAGAAATACTCGGACGACACTGCTATTGTGGCATGTATCAGGAATGGGCAGGAATCTGAATACAGGGAACTGATAAAAGCCTTCAGTGACTGGAGTCACAAGAACTGTCTCCTACTGAACACCTCAAAGACCAAGGAAATGATTATAGATTTCTGCGGGTCCAAGCCCCCTCTTCAGCCAGTGAATACCTGTGGGATGGACATCAAGGTGGTGCCAAGTCATAAGTATCTAGGTGTACACCTGGATAATAATTTGGACTGGTCCCTACACATAGACGCTCTCTACAAAAAGGGGCAGAGCCGCCTCTTTTTCTTAAGGAAGCTCAGATCTCTTGACATCTGTAGTAAGATGCTGCAGATGTTTTATCAGTCTGTGGTGGCAAGTGTGTTGTTTTATGCTGCAGTCTGCTGGGGAGGAAGGAAAATTGTTGTAGATTCATGGTGTATTAATCTGCCTCTGCTACAAATATCATTCAAACACTGTGCAGACACAGCTCCCCACACCCCGTTTGTTCAAAGGCACAGAAGAGCAGCTTAGAGAAATGACTTCAATCCTGCTGGTTGTATTTTCATCCACCAGGGATCTTCAGGGATGAGCGGGGACATCATGGGCAACACAATGGCGCCAGACATTTGTTACTGCAACAGAACAGGCATTTCCTGGGTCTAGAGATGTGTTCATTATCCAGTTTAGCTATTAAATGAATGCAATAATTATATTTTCCTATTGTCAGTCTTCTGTTAATTCTATTTTATTTCTGGAATCCAATAAAACACAATATTACACTATCATACTGGCAATAATAACTTCACTTGGAGTTCTCTTTTTTGTAAACAACGTCTTTACTGAGTTCAATCACAAATCAAAAACAAGGGAAAAGCATAAAACAGAACAGGCAAACAAATACATGAACATACAACAATGTCGCCTTTTTCAATTATAGAAGGGTGCATCTGGAAGAAAAGAATATATCAGAATCAGAATCAGAATCAGAAATACTTTACTGATCCCCGGGGGGAAATTGTTAGTGTTACAGTTGCTCCTATTCAACAAAGACTGTAGTATAATATATAACATATAGAAATATAAAATGTACAACAATATATACAATACAATAGAATATATGCAACAATATATACAGCAGTGGCACACGTACTAGTGTAAAAAAAACCCAAAGTGTCGTTGCCATGGTGACATGATTGAAGGATGAATGAGGATGAGGAGGGATGTACACAGTCATAATAATGGCATGTGAAAACTCCTTTGGCAAATAACACGGCCTGAGTCCAACAGCCAACAGTTCTATGTCCGGGCAACAGATATGTTCCTTGATGGTAATAATAATGTGACCAGGATCACACGAACTATATGTGTATATATACCGTTATATATCTTACCGTTATATATATATATATCTATTTATACACACACATACATATATATGTAAGAAATAAATATGCGCGTGTGTGTGTGTATAGGGTAATACACACACCAAAAACGCTGAAAAAATTGCCATATGACTTTGCCAAATCCATTAGCGTACTTTCTTTGGCTAAGCTAACGTTAGCCCAGACCATCGAGTCAAGCGGAGAAACAGCCTTCACGAGACATGACACTCTAATTCTTCGATGCATCGCATTTGTAAATAGCACGAATTACATCTTAGAAACCATACCACACTCGTTGGATGATAACTAAAAGACTATTTTTCTTACCGTTCTCTCGTTCTCTGAACACAACCCGCTAATCACTATGGCCGCCGAATAAGCAAAAAATTACACGAAGAAGAAACTTCCGCTTGGGACTTTCCAACTTTC